ATATTTCGTTTTTCAACAAGCAAATATATTTTCTTCTCAGCAGCACATGGCTCCTTTAAAATAGATCATATATTATGCCACAGGGCAACTCTTAGTAAATATAAAATTATATTATATATATGTATATTATATATATATTATATATATATATATATACACATATATACACACACACACACACACACACACAGAGAGAGAGAGAAATACCCTGTATTCTATCAGACCACAATGGAATGACATTAGAAAGCAATGATAAAATAAAAAATGGAAGATACTCTAACAAATGGAGACTAAATAATACACAATTGAATGATTAATTGATAGTAGAAAAAATCAAGGATAAAATTTTAAAAATTCTTAAAGGTAAATGAGAACACTGATACAACATATCAAATCTCTGAGACACTATGAAGGCAGTACTAAGAAGAAAGTTTATTGCATTGAGCCAATTCATAATAAGACTAAAAAGTTAACAAATAAATGTCCAAACACTACATCTCAAAGCCCTAGAAAAAGGAGAACAAAAGCAGTAAAAACCAAGAAATAATTTAAATCACTGAAATCAAAACAAAGAAACAATTGAAAAAACTGACAAAACAAAAAGTTGGCTCTTTGAAAAAAATAAATAAAATAGATAAAACCCTGGTCATGCTAACAAAGAGAAAAAGAGAGAAAACTTAAATTACTAAAATACAAGATGAAGAATGAAATATCACAATGGACACGTCTGAAATACAGAAGATAATCAGAAACTATTTGGAAAATATGTACTCTAATAAAATAAAAAAAATATTGAAGACATTGACAAATTTCTAGAGACATGTGACCTACCCAAACTGAATGAGGAGGTCATACATGATTTCAACAGATCAATTTCAAGTAATAAAATAGAAAATGCCATCAAATCATATTAACAAATAAAAGCCCAGAAGCAGATGAATTCTCAGCTGAGTTCTAAAAGACTTTCAAAGAAGAATTAACAGCAATACTTCTCAAAGTATTCCATGAAATTGAAAGGAAGGAAATGCTTCCAAATTCATTCTACAAGGCTAATATCACCCTGATACAAAAACCAGACAAAGACACATCAAGGAAAGAAAACTATAGACCAATAACTTTGATGAAGATAGAATCAAAAATTCTCAATAAAACTCTGTCAAATCACCTACAAAACATATTAAAAAGATAGTGCACCAGGATGAAGTGTGGTTCATCCCAGGAATGCAGGGTTGGTTCGACATATGGAAATCAATAAACATAATTCATCATATTATAGACTTAAAAACAAAAATTACATGATCATCTCAAAATATGCAGAAAAAGCATTTGACAAAATACAGCACACCTTTATGTTCAAAACACTAGAAAAACTAGGGATAGTAGGAATATACCTCAACATTGTAAAAGATATATATGGTAAAAACCAATGCCAGCACCATTCCAAATGGAAAAAAAATGAAAGCATTCCCACTAAAAACTGGAACAAGACAAGGATGTCCTCTTTCACCACTTCTATTCAACATCATCCTTGAAACTCTAGCCAGAGCAATTGGACAAGAGAAAGAAATTAAAAAATACAAATAGATAAAGAAGAACTCAAAATATTACTATTAGCTGATGACATGATTTTATATCTAGAAGATCCAAAAAATTCTACCAGATAACTCCAAGAACTAATAAATAAATTCAGTAAAGTAGCAGGATATAAAATCAACACCCATAAATCAAATGCATTCTTATACATCAGCAATGAATCCACTGAAAGAGAAATTAGGAAAACTACCCCATTCACAATAGCCTCAAAAAATTAAAATATCTGGGAATCAATCTAACAAAAGAGATGAAAGACCTCTACACTGAAAACTACAGTATTCTAAAGAAAGAAATTGAAGAAAACCTCGGTAGATGGAAAGATCTCCCATGCTCCTGGATAGGTAGAATTAATATTGTCAAAATGGCCATACTACCAAAAGTGTTATACAGATGTAATATGATTCATATTAAAATCCCAATGATATTCTTCATAGAAATAGAAAAAAAAACTGTCATGGAAATTTATTTGTAAAAATAAGACACACACACACAGAAAAAAAAAAAAAAACACAGAATAGTTAAAGCAATCCTTAGCAAGAAAAATGAAGCTGGAGGGATCATAATACCAGATCATCAATTATTCTGTATAGTTATAGTAACAAAAACTGCCACATAAATACGGTCATCTCATACTAGACAAGGGTGCCAAAAATATTCACTGGAGAAAAGATAGCATATTTAACAAACGGTGCTGGGAAAACTGGAAATTCATATATAGCAAAATGAAACTAAACCTGAAAAGGGTTTCTGTGATGAAAAGGACCCAACCTAAGTGGGATGACAGTGCTGAAAATTCTCCCATTACCAGAGGTGAAATTGCTATGACATGACTCAGGACACCCATAACTGTTCAGACACTGCTGTGTGAGTCCTCCCTGAGGTACAGGTGGTGGCTGCAGGAGCAGCTGCAGTTTGCAGACAGGCTGCAGGTCCGCTGGGAGCACTGTGCCTCCCTGCACAGAGGTAGAGGCCTGAGTCTTCCAGCTGGGAGGTGGAGATGTGCAGGGTGCTGTAGCGCTTCTTAGGATTTGCTGTTGCCTTTAACCTTCCCTCCTGCTTTGTCCCTGAAGCCAGGTAAAACAGACTGATGAAGCCACCCTCAGGATTCTGATGGAACCACTGCACACTGTTCATGGTGGTAGAAAAATTGCACCTAAGAGTAGAGCTCATTCCCTCCTGGAGCCTCAGGGCTGAAGGACTCTGCTCCACCTGCTGCCCTCTCACCCCTGCTTGGAAAGAGAAAAGCAAACACAGCTGGTGTCACTGGGGAATCCATGACCAGTTCACATATCTACAGAATATCCCAGGAAATGCCCTGAGGATGGAGCACAGGGAGGCGGCTTGGTGCCAGCTCTCCCTGCCCTTCCTCACACTGTCAGCCCTCCAACACCCCCAGCTCCATCTGGGAGGAACCTGACTCACAGCAAAGCTACACACACAGAAGCCCCAGCAGAGCCCCCAGTCTCCTCTGCATGGCTGCTGTCTTGGCTGCTGGGTCTTCTCCCTGCTCTGCAGGTGTCAGTTCTTGGGCCAGACAAGCTTGTTCTTCCAGGCAACAGTTTCCACCTGACTCCCTGAGCACCAGTCACATCTGAGCTCTGTCCTGCCCCTAACAGGGAGCTCCACCCCCAGTGGCCCAGGGAGACAGCAGTGGTGGCTCCCAAAATTTTGTGAGGACAGTGCAGGGGGTAGAGGGCCATGTTTTCAATGAATGAAGATGCAAGTGGGTTTTTTTTCTTATAAAATTTGATATAGGAGAAGTTTATGGAAAGGCATATGAGAAACGAGTATGATACCCCAGTAAAGGAGCTAGGTCATTACTGGGTGAAAGAGAGCTTTTAAGAATCACAGGAAGAGTGACCCCATTGCTCAAGTTACATATCTTGACAAAGATTTTCAGAAATGAATTATGTTAGGTTGGTTTGAAGTGATTAAGGAACAAAGCACCAAACAACCTATGCCCACCAAAGAACCACCAATCAGGTGCTGACAGAACTACCTGTCAATCAGAGGGGTCTTCTGACCAATCCTGGATCATCGCCAGCACCTCAAACAAACCCCAGTAGGACAAGGGACTTTAAAAAACAAAAAACAAACAAACAAACAAACAAAAAGCACCCTTTTCTGTCCCACACCCTCCCTTCCTGCCCTAAGCCCAGTAAAAATTCCTGTCTGGTCCAGGCCCGACTGCTTCTCCTCAGACCCACCCTGTTGATCTGAGGGTCTCTCTTGGGAGCAAAATCTCAATAAAGCCTCCTTCATCAGCTTTTAAATTTGCCTCCTTTTGGTCGCCGCTACCTGACCTTACAAATTATATGAAAATTCTGATAAAGGTAAGTATTTGATTGTATGAATTGTGTATTAAAAAATACATATAATTTCTTAAAGTCAAAAGGTTGTGATGTGAATAGAAAACATTTCCAACAAGAGTTTTGTTAACTAAAATAAATATAAGTTTTAAGTATGATGTCCACCCTGCTTTATTCTCTACCTCTCCCCTTTTTCTGTCCCCTCTTTTTCCTACACTCTACAGATCCTCACAGCAGACTCTGGTCAGATTAAATAATGTCATTTTCTTTTTCTTCTTTTTTTGTTCTGTTTGTCCCTTTAAGAATACCTACAATCTGTAGTCCTTGCTCTCAGAAACTATTCTTATTTAAAATAATGTGTGCCTACTTTTAACATTATTCATCAATTCCAATGGTATTATATTTGATCTCTACAATTCTATTGCTAGATAAAGGATCAGGTGTTATTATATTTTGTTTTCCTAAGTCAGCTAATAACTCTTCAACTTCCAGGTTGATTGGGTATCAAAATCCACCTGGCAGGTTCTCCTCACCCTGCCAGCCATGTCTAACACATGGGAACCAGTTTTGCTACTGTCCTAAGGGACTACAGCCTTCCCAAGCACTTGCCCATGGAGTGTAGCATCAGTCAACTAGCTCCCATCTTTAACCATGCTTTCTTGGGAATAATGAGTGAAGACACAGAACTTTGGCTGAATTTTCTCAAAGACCCCTATTCATAAGCAGAGTCAGCTTTCACTCTATGCAGCACAAACCTTTAGGAAACATGACCCCACAAACATTTGTGTTATGCTCAGTATTGATTTGTCCAAATACTTATAAAGAGTGCTGGCACATTTTAGGAGCTGATAGATATTAGTTCAATGAATGAGTGAATAGAAATTACCTCTATAGCATTTTTCACAAACCATTCCTACCAGACTATCATTCCTACCATCCTGAGCTTCTTGGGAGCAGGAAGAAGAGTATGTAATATTTAGCAGGTCTTTGATAAGTTTATTAGTAAACAGTTAATAATAGGGTTTATTCCAATAATAGAACATTTTACATACTGAAAGTTAGCCACAATGCTTGCCTTTTGGTACACATAACCTATCAAGATTTATGCTCCTATCTACAGTTCTTTTATCAGATTTCTAGAAATGGAAGTACAGCCTAATTTTTTCTGTTTCCACCAGACCCCAAAGAAGACATGCTCTCATATCCATTGACTGACCAGGGACTCTGATGGATCTGGTAGAAGAGAAGGAGCACTGGGATTGATGTACTCAGAAGAGGCCACAGGAGAATGTGAAGGGTGGCCAGATGAAAAATCTGGCACAAATGAGCATCAGCACTTGTCTCCTGACCTTCCTGGTCAGCCCAGCCCTTAACTCCACACAAGGACTTAGGCTCGAGCCCTGTTGCAGAGGGTTCTGTCAAACTGTGCCTGCCCAGCTGTAGATTTGGGTGCAGGTGGCAGGTGCCTGGGTAGCACTGTGTGACTACAGCACAGAGGTAGGTGGCTGAGTCTCCATGCTGCACAGCTGTGATGTTCAAGCTGCTTCCACCCTTCAGCAATGTGGCTCGTAGTCTTCCCTTCTGCTGCACATCCCCAGCTGAATACATGGAGAAGAGGTGTCTGAGACCTGTCCCTTTGTCTTGTCTGTACCACTGCAGACTGTTAAAAGCACTGACTGAATAAGTGCAGCTCATGGAGGTGCCATCTCCCTCCCAGGGTCTCAAGGAAGGAGGACTCTGCTCCACCTGGTTTCCTCCTTTCACCCCTATTTGAAAGACAACAGACACAATATTTAGCTTTAGTTCAGACCTTTCATAACTTTGTGCCTAAATATCCCCCCAAAAGTGCCAAATAATTTCAAATTACACCCTCATCTGTCCCCTAGGTTTCAATGAATGTCCCCTGGAGCTCCCAGCTCTAAGAACCCCCCAACTCACAGCCAAGATGAAGCCAAAATATAATTAGCATGGATCCCTGCATCTTTTCCATCCTGATACTTTGTCTTGATATTCGAAATGCTGCCTAAAATTAGGTAGCCAGAAGTCTTTCTTTCTTGGTCCTTTGGATCCAGTAAACCAGAGGGCTTTTCTGACTATGTGTCAACCAGTCAGAGATGAGCTCCTCTTATGTAAACCTACTTTCTAACCATAAGGAAAGGCCTAGTCAACAGAGGGAAAGAGAGCCAGTGTCACCTGGTGGCCACAGACAGAATCATCAGAGAAACATTACCACAGTGGGTGTGCACCTCTTGCGCAGGTGCAGCAGGGTGATTACTGCTCCTATATGGTAGATAGTTTTTAACTTTATAGACACCTATAATGTGGTCATCATACTATTTTATTTCCTTTCATTTATCTATGCATTTAGGTCTGAAGTGTGTCAGAGCAAAACTATCACCAGTGATTATAGAGCATGTGGGCAAAAGGGGGGAGAAAAATTAGATTGGAGTTCTCTTCAAAAAGCAACAACAATCTTAACTGATAAAATCAAGGATGGATGAAAAGAAAAAAAGAGGCTGAAACACATCACACACACATACACACACAAAAAACAAAACAAAACAAAACAAAAAAAAAACACTGGAAGGCCAACAGAACCATATCAAAGAACAGAATATTGACAATGATATTAGGAAATCTACTTTTGTAAGTAACATGCAGCTTCAGTAGACTCAACATGGAGGGGCTGAAGATCAACAGAAATTGTAGAGGGAAATAAGGGAAGATAATAATAAATTTTAATCACTGAATCAAGACTGCAGTATGAAAAAGAAATGTCTTCCTGATCATGAGTAAAACTTCAGGACTTGAGGCTTCGTTATTGTGTTTTTAAGCAACAGCAGTTGATGGCATCACATGAATTTAAGAATTAATTAAAAAATAGTTTGCTTCATATGCTTTGCCTCACTATTATCTTAATTTAAACTAAATTGTGAGTTGTATTTATATTTTTAAGCATACTTTAGTACACTACTATTGACAAAAGAAAATCCAACTGATTTTATCAATGCTATTTCAGATGACATTATAAGAATGCTCTGACAGGATAATTAAAAATAAAACTAGAAGCCCTCTTGGACTCATGCAAACTCAACATTGTACCCCTGGAGGTCATAACTGTCCAACACACACACAAACACACACACACACAAACACACACACACACAGAAAAAGTCTAGTAGAAGTTTGTCACAGCTTTTCTATCTTATTTCTTCTAAAGAGTGAAAAGGCAAGCATATATAGCTGTGTTTATGTTCATAGTACAAATCCAGTGTAGGCTAAGAATATTAATCCTTTCACCTCTAATCTGTCCACTAGGAATTAAATGTTTCCATTTGCCTAAAACTCATTTAACCTGTGTTTAACTGTAAAGTAGCTACATTTTATTTAGCTTAATAACATTATGTCCTTTTGATAGGGTGATGATAAAGCAAGAATTAGGCAGACAGGCAGGAAGTATAGATAGGTAAATCAGGTCAGATCAAGGAGACCAATTTGAGTGTTAGGGAAGTTAGAGACTGCCCCCTGAGAGATTAAAATTCCTTAGAGCCCTTCCTCCACCCTTATCAAGATAACCTGCCTGGGTTCCAACCTGTGCTAAGGTAACCTGTCCCAAGAACTGTCCTTCCCTAAATGGAGTTGTAAAAGTTGTTCATTAATGTGTCCATCCAGCCCATCCCCCACCCATCTGCTTCTCACCATTTGACCATCCTACTGGAGCATCCCCTGAGCCTAGTTATGTATGCAGGAAGAAGATAGATAAGGGGAAGAGAGCAGGAGAACAAAGGAAGCCTAGGACATATATGTATATATTAAAAAAAGGCAAAACACCCTAGCTTCTTGGGATACCAGGATACCAGCAATGGCCTACTTCTCCCTCCTTGGAGAAGTCTATGTTACCCCTTTTTAAATTAACCCTGCTTTATATGCTTGCCTCTGCATGCTTCTCTATTGTTATACTTCAACATGGGAGGGAGCAGAACTTGTCACCTCTAACTGGTGGTATTAATGATGAGAATTAATCAGCCAAGTTTCACTTCCCCAGATATGGAGATTGAACACCTGAAAAACCAGAAGCAAGTGTAGAAAGCAAGTTTTATTTAAACAATAGAACAGAGATAGACTTCTGTGCAGAGAAGGGGGCCCAGAGCTGGGTGTCCCAAGAAGTGAGCGTGTCCTGCCCCTTTCATACAGTATAGAATTCCTTTGCATTCCCTCCTTCTTCCCTTATCTTGCATCTCTCCTCTCCCCATGCTGTAGGTGACCAAAAGGTGGCCCAAAAGGTGAAGGTGGAGTAATATCAGGGCTGGAAAGAAGCTGTCTAGGTTTATGGGCAGGAAGGGACCAACCCAGGAGACATTAATTAGCAATTCTTACAACTCCCTGCAGGGAGGAACAATTCCTGTGGCAGTTGGCAAAAGTTTAGAGAAGGAAGGGGAAGGGCTTTGAGATATCAGCATTTGATTTCCTTTGCTTTCCAACTAGCTCCCATCCTCCTGATCAAACCCAATTATTTATTATCTAAACTGTCTTTTTGCCCTCTGGCCTAACTTTTTTAAAGGCCTCCCAAAAGGCAGTTTTTCAGACATAGCCTTTAGATAGTCTTTCTCCAGAAAATGATAAAAAGGATGAAACCAAAGTTAGTGCAGGCTGGAAGAAAACCAGTAGCATAGATGGATGTCCCCTCTTCCAGGGGAATAGTTAAGTCTGAGGGAAAAAGAATATCTACTTTGAATGGAAGATGAATGTGTTGCTCTAGGAATGATGTATGACCAAACTGCACCATGAGATCAGAGAAAGGTTACTAGGCAGAAATAGTGGTAAAATATTGGGATTAAGCATCAAGTAAACAGAAGTCACATCTAACTTTTGTGCTGGCTATGTCTGTGAGCCTGAATATGAGTATTTTATATAATGTCAATAAGAATCAATTTCATCACAATAAAAAAGTTGAGAAACTGATGTGACTCCATTTTCCAGAAACCAGCCTATACCTCAGAGCAAAGCCTGTCCAAGGAAGGGGGCGTGACCTCTGTCATTGGAAAAACCCACAGAGCACTCCTAGGCACATACCCACCCTGCTGAGTTATTTATCTACAAATAACAGGAGAGATCTGGGGCACCAGGTGTCCTTGACTCAGTCAGGCTAGGTGAGGACCCATAGCAACCCCCAAGCAACCACCAATCAGCATGAAACAGGGAAAATACCAGGAATGCTAAATGACCCTCCCAGTAGTTTATGGAGGTTGATAACATGTTGGGAAACCATGTAGTTCAGCAGGTACACCCCTCCCTTCATGTCCTAAACCAATCAGTTCAAAGGAATCCCCCTCTTATACTAACCAATCACCCCTACCCAACTTGTTCCCACCAGCGAATGTGCTAATCACTGTTCAGAGTTGTTCCCGCAGTGTGTGGGTGTGTGAGGATTTGCTAAGAGATGCTATGATATATGTGAGGTCCCTGCCTTCCCCAAAGAGTGTACAAAACTGCTGCAAACCCTGGGCTTGGGGCCTCTCAGCATCACCAGTTGCTGTGTGTGTGGAGGACCGAGCTAGCTCACAATAAAGACCTCTTTGCTGCTTACATTGATCTTGGTCTCTGGTGGTCTTTTGGGGGTCCCAAACTCAAGCATAACAAAGTAAACTACCTCAAATATTGTTATACAGATTGAGCTTTTAAAAACTTTTGTACAAATTCGAGCCCTGTGCTTGACATATAGTTATAACTGAAAGCTCGATTCTTGTCCCCATGTTAATCCAAGAAAGAAGACATCCTTTGTGCAAAAAAGGAAAAATAACATTTATTGTTTTACTAGCAAAGGAGAAAGCACAGGGGACTCCTGTTCCAAAGGCTGTGATTCTCCCACACAGAAAGGACAGGGGGATGTAAGGGTTACATTCCAGGTTGCTCTAGTTGGAGGTCCCAGGGTGCCCTGATGGTGGGCTGGGATTTACTTATTAATTTGAGAGATGTTCACTTCCCATATCCTCAGCAGGCATCTCCTTCCTGTACTGGGTGTGCTCAAGGGCAGTTAACTAGGGGAAGAAAAAGATAACACTGTCTCCCTAATCTTGTTAGAGAGGGGAAGGAGAGAGAGAGAGAGAGAGAGAGAGAGAGAGAGAGAAATGTTCTTAAAAAAATAAAGCACCTCAAAGCAATGAGGGCTACAATCAGATGATGAAGGAATCATTGTTATATTTTCCCACTGTCAATTCCTACTTTCCATTTCTATGGAAAATTGGGCAAGGACATCTCAAAGCTACTTCCTGCTGAGAATGGGCAATGAAGGGGGTTTTTATAATGGAAGGTTTTACTTGTTGTTACCATGTTTTCTTCAGGTCTTTGGTTGCATAGTTGAAAACGGAGAAGGAGAAACAAAATTAAACAGAAAGATACATACACAGGAGCAATGATAAATAGGATAGTAAGAATGAGGTGGAAGAGGCCTAATAAAATAGATTTAATCCCTCTTGGTATTGTTAAACCCCAATGCAAAGAAAATACCACTGACTCCAATTTTAAATCAATTAAAGCAAGCTTGTATTTGTGTACACCAGAGCTGGCCAATACTGTCTCTCCCAAAAACCCTGGGCTAGAGGTCAGCACCCCAGCTTTCCAGGAACATGATTTTATAGCACAAAAATTTGCAAAGAGGGGTGTCTTGAGAACTTACAGATAACAGGATTTTGACAAGTATAATAGAAAGGCAGTTAGTGGGTTAATGATCTACATAGCATGATATTTCAAAGTAGGGAGTAAATTCAGATCCCAACATCAGAATTTATGAGGCACCACTGAGATTTCAGAGAGAGTTGTTTTCTGGTCAGAGAAAGCCAGGCATCAGTGAGTTCAAGGCATGGGCAGAAATTCCAAACAAGTTTAGAAATCACGGTAATTTATAGTAAAACAGAAATTAACTTTTCATGACTTTTTGACAAGATGGCTCCCAATCTTAAAATGGAATTAGGCATCTTGTTAGCGCAAAAAGACCAAGAGGATCACAATCTTCACAAATCAGCTCAGTGCTTTATTCACTAACAAAGTTTTACACAGGCACAGGGGATTCATGGACGAAATGATGCCATGGTGGGACCCACTGGGTTCA